CCTGAGGTGGGGACCGAGTGAACCCCTCCTTAGTTAAGATCTGGCCAGGCAGCCCTGGCTGGACTTCCCTTTGCCTCTTCCAGGGAGAGAAGCAACATGGACTCTGTGGGAAGGGCATCTTGGAGACTTAGCAGACAGCTGGACTCAGGGGCTGAGGGCAGGAACTGTTTAAATGGTGCTTTCTCCTAGGCAGGTGGGGACTCAGCAGCAGCTGGGGAGGCGGAGGGTTATGTGATTGGGCATGGGACACTCTGTATTCTCATTCTCTGGGGCACCTGGGTGGAAGAGGTAAGCAGGGTATTGAGAAATAAGATCCTTAGGAATTAATGGTGGGACTGGTACTATAGATTTAGGGGGCATCCCAGAACCAGAAGTAAAGTTACAGGCTTTAGCACCCGGATGATCATGAGAGGGGAAGTGGTCTCGTTCTGCCAAAGAACCGTGTTTTCAAAGTTCTCAGATGAGCTATGATGCAGAACAGTCTATATCAACTACATCAATATGTGTCTGACTTATGACCATGGTCACAAGCATCCCAGGATAGCAATGGATGCTGCCCAACACATCTGTAGACTACAACATCTTGTAATGTCAAAAGGTTGGACATGCCTGATAAAGCATCCAAAGACTGTTCCTGAGCAACAGCACCTCTGTCTCTGGAGCTTCAGGGGAGACTCTCCAGACCCTTGGGACTAACTCTTTTGTAGGTGACCCACAGAGGCTCAGGATTCATGGGCTCTCGAAGCACCAGTGCTTGTCTCGAGACTTGGTCCTTTCCCTCTTTCTCTTTATTTCCTTCTTCCATAAATTATTATTATTACAGTGTGTGCAGTGTGTGTGTGTGTGTAAAATGTGTGAGTGCACAAGTGTGCAATGTGTGTGTGTGTGTGTGTGTGTGTGTGTGGAGGTCAGAGGACAACTTTGTGGAATCAGCTCTCTCACTATCATGTGGGTTCTGAGGACTGAGCTCAGTCCGACTGCAAAGCGGATGCATTAACCCCGCACCCCAGGCACCTTGCTAGCCTGCCTGTCTCTCCTCTCCTCCATACCCCCCTCTTCCCTTCTCTCTCCTTTCTTTTGATACAGAATCGCACGTAGCATGGGTTGGTCTCCAACTCCCTATGACCTTCAACTTCTAATCCTCCTCCCTCCACGTCCTAAGTGCTGGGGTCGTGGACATGCCCCCCTCCCACCCCAGCCCTAGACCTGGCTTCTTGAAATGCTCATTGGTTAGTTTTCAGTGAGTGAGAAAAAGAAAACCATGACTTTGGCAGTCAGAAATGTACTGAATTAAACAAATGTTCCATTTTCTGTGTCTGCTTGAACTGCTTAAACATTTTGTCAAATTGTTTTTTTTTTTTCCATTTTGTCAAATTGTGAACTAAGGTAATATTAATTCAGGTGATTCTCCTAACAGGAAATTAATTTTACTTTATGAATGAGAGGGCTTTGAAAAGATTGCTTTTTTTTTTTAATTAGGGATATCCTTGTCAATCCAAACTGCCTTATCAAGCCTATATTTCTTAAAGAGTCATCGTATAAGGACTATGTCCTGTGAGTTAGCTTCCGAAGCTTTGCACCTCAAGGTGCCCCAAGTCCACTGGCTTACTGTGTCAGAGCCAGAGGCTGCAGAGATGTGGCAGCGTTAAGCTCCTGAGGCTCAGGGAGGGGTGCTTCCTGCCTCTTCCTAGTTCCTGCCTCTTCCTAGTTTCAGGTGGTTGTGAGCTATGCTGGGGGTACGTTGGCTGGGTCCTGGTCCTCTTCAACATGAGGTGCACCTCCACAGCCCATTCTCCTTGTGAATGTTTGTGTCCATGAGCAGGATTCTTCTGTCTCTGGAGTTTTCGCACAGTACATGGCATAATTGCAGTGTGTAGACACCTGTCTCAAACTCTTCCTCCAGCCCAGTTCTCTAGCACTGAAGGCTTAAAAGCTCCCTGGATTTTCCCACCACGTAGATGCCTAGCAATTTCTGTGTCTGACCATTTGGTATCGGAAAGTACTTAAGGATCGTTTTCAAACTCTTGGGTCTCAGGCTGCTGGCATGAGTCCTTGGTCCCGCGAATGCTCACGGAACACAGAACTCTAACAATAAGTAGGAGAACCTCCCTTCAGGTTAGAGACACTCCAGTTGAGGGTTTAGTCTTAGCTGGGACTAAAATGGCTGAGAGAATGAAGGGAGGAAGGATTGGTTTGGCTCGGTTTTCCAGGGGTCAGCCCATCGCAGCTGGGGATATGTGATGGACAGGTCACATCAACAGAGGCCAGGAAGCAGAGAGGCAGGACTATAAGAAGAGGCAGGGGTAAGAAGAAGCTCCAAGGACATTCCCCCAGTTTTCTCCAGTTATGTCCCACCTCCAACCTTTGTTCACTTGCCAATAATAACATCAGATTAGTTTGGAGCCCTCGGGATCTAATCATACCTAGAAATTCACTACAGGCACATCCAGAGCTGTGCTTCGCTGACGTCCCAGTGTCTCTGTCTAATCAAGTGGATAGGTGAACCACATTTCAATGAGAGGCCTACCTGTTTACATCCCAGTTTACATATGATATGATGTTATTGAAAGCACCGTGTTCACAGAGTGAGGAACTTCAAGGAAGTGCTGGACACCACACAGCCAGTGCAAGGCGCGGGGCTGTTAAGCGGCCAGCCCATTAGCAGGAGCCATAAGAACTGGCTCCTATTTTTCACTGAATTTCCACAAAGCTGCACAGAACCTCATTTCACAGAAGACAGAAAACCAGCCCCAAACACATGGAACTAAAAGGTTAGGCAAACATTCCTATGCCAGCCAACAGGCAAACATCCGGAAGGAGAGGTCTTGGTTGTTTTAATTTGGGGAACAATACTGTGTAAACACCGCCAAGGATGAGTGAAGGTGACAGCCTCTGCCTTGGTTTGGGGTGACTATTCTTTTATGCCAGCAGCTTTAGAGGCCACTCTTGCCTTTCTAAAGATAAACTTCCACTTAGGAGTTTCTATTCATTTTTTTGTTTGTTTATTGTTCTCGGTTGAAAGGAAAGATTAAATTCAGACTTAGTTAAAAAGTAAAAACCTGGACATGGGGACACATGCCTATAATCCTAGCACTCAGGAGGCAGAGGCAGGGAGATTGCCACAAGTGTGAGGCATTCTTAGTCATTCAGAACTATAAAGACAGAAACTGTCTTGAAACAAAAAGCAAAACAAAAATTAAAAATAAAGGCATTATTTGGAAAATACCTTAAAATGAAAGAAAAGACAAACACACCTGTGGCCCTGACAAAGCCAATAACCCGTGGTTAGTGCTTACGTTTATAGGTCAGACATTATGCCTCCATACCACAGGAGTGCTGGGGCCAGGAGACAGTGAACCAGGCTACTGTGTGCCTCACAATACCCTTTCCAGGGTCCCACCCTCTCAAAGTCCAAACCTCAAGGTTCTTCAACTGCCTCCTCACCCTCCTCAAGTTAAAGTGCCCAAACCATGCTCTGAGACCTGAACCCCAGATCTGCCTGTTCACTTGCCCCTCTCTGACCCAATGGTTAGTTCTTTCTTACACAGTTGGCCAGACCACGCTCCTTTGGAACTGCTGTCTGGATTTTAATTGTTCATCTATTAAGGTCACAACCGAATTAGCAATCTATTCCTCACTAGACTGCAAACTCTTGGGGAAGTTTCTATGGCACTTTTACAATGATTAGAACCTTCCTGGCTGGCCCCTGGCCCCATCCTGGGGGCAGGAAGGAAGCAGGGGCACATTGAAATAACCTGGACTTGTTCACCATGCTTTAACATGAGAGTCCCTCCCTGGAACCAGCACATACCAAGTCAGGTCTCAAGTCTCATTAGGGACTGGCAACCATGCTAGAATCGGTTGTTTGTTCTTATCTCGATTGGGGTGGGAGGGGACACCCAGCACGGGGACACCCTGCACATGCATTGGAAATGGTTAGGTGCTGTAGGAGAGACAAAGCTGAAAGGCGCGTGGCCATAGAGAGGGTATGTGTTTATAAAAAGCTATAATTAACCCATAACAGAGTGGAGGGAGGGATGGACAGGCACACGAGGCCAGGGGGTCTCCAGAAAAGAGCCGCACACAACCATTTAAAACTCATTATAATCTCAATGTAAAGAAAGGAATTCCAAACCTCGAGAGACCCAAAGCCAAGCCCCCAAAGACATTGAATGCAGGCGTGGCCCTGAGTCTTAGTCCCTGCGCTCGGGTGCTGCAGGGGGGAGGGGGGAGAATCAATGATAAACTGGCTCCCCCAACCTTGAGCTATTTAAATAATCCAAGGAGGAAAATGTAGGGTGAAACCAGGGTCAAAACAAGAGGGAACTTGGAACAGAGGATCACAACGCTCTGCACAGCTGGGGGCACCAGCTGGTCAGAGAGTCCAACCCAGCTCCTGGCACCCCTAGATCCTCATGATTCCAGCCCAGCCTCAAACATTCAGGCGCTCTCAAGTTCTAGACCGACCTTGACACCCCAAGAATCTCAGGATCCCAGCAGCTGACATCCCTGTATTCTCTACCCGGACCCTGAGACCTAGATTCTCAGAATCCCAGCTACTAGCACCCCAAGATTACCAAGGAGGATCCCAGCCCAGCCGTAAACATCTCAAGATTCTCAGTATCGCCATTTGGCTTCTGACACCGCCAGGTTCTCAGGATCCCAGTCCAGTCCCAACATCTCGCTATTCTAAACACCGGCTCTGGATACCTAAGCCCAGCCACAAACATTCCGGGACCCCAAGGCCTGCCCTACTACACACATGCATGTGAACCCGCGCAATTTACCGTAAGTCTCGGACATGGCGGTCTGCGCCATCCTGCCGCCACACTTCTGCGTGGTCCGGTCTGTCCTCCAGTCTCCGCAGAGCGAGGGGGAACCGAGTGTGGAGGGCCGGGTACGGGCCCACTGCGAGCCGGCCACCGGCTGCGGCCCAGCGGGACTCGGCTCCGCGCCTGCGCACCACCGCCCCGCGAAGGACCGGCGCGGGGTGGGGGGCCTGGGGGCGGGGTCGCAGGAGAAAGGAGGAGCCGGGCTGGGGAACGCGAGGAGGGAGAGCGAGAGAACTGGTGAGGAGAACTAGGGGGAGGAGGTGAAGGAGGATGAAGAAGGGGGACCAGGAAGGAAGGAGGGGCAGGGCTCGGGAGGGGTGCCTGCACCCGGTAGGCCCGCCCAGCTGTCATTGCAACAGACTCTGCCATCCTTAAGTGTGACCTACCAGGCTATGGTGGACAGGAGGCCGCCGCCGGTGGAGTGGGGTGGGGACGGTGGGGGGGCGGTGGGGGCTTTTTTTTTTTTTTTTGAAGGGAAGAGGGTTCATTAGCAGAAAGCCAAACTCTTACCCAACGCACAATTTGCAGTTGAAATTGCCTGGCACCGTAATCTCAGCATTCAAGAGGATATTTTTGAGTTGGAAGCCTACCTGGGCTACACAGCAAGGAGGGAAAACAAAGATAAAAGAGACACAGCTCAAAAAGAAACAAGTAAACAGGTTTTTAAAATAACAAAACTATTGCTTACAAAAATTTTAAATATAGAGATATTTCATATACGAATGTTAAAATAGCGATGAGCTGTGCTTCCGGCCCCAGTATGTGACCTTTGAGCTTAGCTTAGTTTCTTTCCCAGCTGTAAATCTGACTATTTCTGAGGAACTGACAAACAGATTACATTCAAAACACTCATCTCAGTGGAGCATGGTGACACAGGCCTTTAATTCCAGAACTCTGGAGGCAGAATCAACAGATCTCGGGATTTGAGTGCAGTTTGGTCTACATAGTGAGTTCTAGGCAGGCCAAAGCTGCTTTGTGAGACACTGTCTCATAAACAAGCAAGCAAACAAACAAACAAAAATTTGCCTTAGTCTTTGTGATTTAATATAGTAAAGAATTTTTTTGGCCTTGTTGACCTGTTTTTATCTTGGCCTCTAATTTTATGACATGTACCTCAGAAACGACTCTTAATCTCATTTTTTAAAAAGAAAGGGAAGACATCAAAATTGCCAGTGTGGTGGCATGTTTATAGCCCCATCCCTCAGGGAAATGGAGGAAGGAGGACTGAAAGTTCAAGCCAGCCAGTCTTAGCTACATAGTAAGTTTGAGGCAAACTTGAGCTATGTGAGACCCTGTCCTGGTTGGTTGTTTTTGTCAACTTGACACATGCTAATATCTGAGAAGAAGGCACTAGGATTAAGAAAATTCTTTCATAAGACTGGCCTGTAGCCAAGCTGATGTGACATCTTTCTTTTGGGGTGTGTGTGTGGTCATTTTCTTGATTAGTGGCCCATACTATTATGGTGCCAGCACCGGGCAGGTAGCCTGAGTTATAAAAGAAAGCAGGGTGAGCTAGCCATGAGGAACGAGCCAGTAGGCAGTGCTCCTTCATGGCCTCTGCTCCAGTTCCTGCTTCCAGGTTTTGCCTTAACTTTCTTCGATGACAGACTTTGATGTGGATGTATAATCTGAAACAAACATTTCCTCCTCAAGTTGCTTTTTGTCGTGGTGTTTTTATCACGGTGACAGAAAACCCCGACTTAGATAGATCCTGACTCAAACAAAAGCAAGGGTGGGGGAGATGAGTCATTGGTAGAGTGCTTGCCATGCAAGGCGTTGGGACCTTAGCGGAGATTCTGAGCACCAGTGTTGCAAGCTAGGCACAGTGGTGTGCACATGTAATCCTAATCCTGGGAGTCAGTGAGAGAGACCCACGGGGTCTGATGCTCAGCCATTCTTGCTAAATCGGGAACCTCCAGATTTAGAAAGAAGCTCTGTCTCAAAAAAGAAGGGAGTGATAGAGAAAGACACTCAACATCAGCATCTGGCCTCTGCATATATGTGCACAGACATACATGTGTACGTGTACACACACATACACAAAACCAAACCAAAACAAAACAAAAAACCCAGGGCTGGCAGGACGGCCTAGTGAGTCAAGGTGCTTGTCACCAAGCCTGAAGACCTGAAATCTGCATGACAGAAGGTTTGTCCTCTGACCCCAATGCTCAGTCATGCACACACAAAATAAAGAGTAAGCACACATGTGTGCAGGGACATACTCAATAAATAAATGTATAAAAGAATTAAAACAAAAACCAAAATCATATATATGGTAAGGTTAAGACACTTGCTGTTCCTCTCTCTCTCTCTCTCTCTCTCTCTCTCTCTCTCTCTCTCTCTTTTAGATTTTGAGACAGGGTCTCATGTAACTAAGGCTGGTCTCAGCTTGCTATATAGCTGGAGGTAACGTTGAACTTCTGATTTTCCTACCTCTGCCTTCTGAGTGCTGAGGTCGGAGCTTTGCACCACCACGCCTAGCTTATGCAGCTCCGGGGATCGAGTTTAGGTCTCGTATGTGCTTAGTAAGCACTTGGCCAACTGAGCCCCATCTTCAGCCAGCACTCTCTCTTTTGAGAATGCCCCTCACCCATGTCCTTTCCTTTTTCTTTCTCTCTCTCTTTTAATTTCTGTGATTAAATCTTTACTAATCTTAAGGGAGCTGGAGCAGTAGCTCAGCTATTGAGACCACTGACTGTAACCAGCGGTGGTGGCACAGGCCTTTAATCCCAGCACTTGGGAGGTAGATCTCTGAGTTCAAGGCCAGACTGGTCTATAGAGTGAGTCCAGGACAGCTAGGGCTACACAGAGAAACCCTGTCTCAGGAAGGAAAAAAAAAAATCAGTGGCCACTTCTCCAGAGAACCCACATTCAATTCCCAGAACCCGCTTGACAGCAACTTTGGGTAACTCCAGTCCCAGGAGAACCCAGTGGCCACTTCTGGTCTCCATGGGTATGATATGTTCATGGTTCACAGACACATGTGCACTCAAATACCTATACATGTAAGAGAAAATTAAACAAGCCTTTTCAAAATTTATTATTTTAAAATTTTATGTGTACATGTGTGGGCGTGAATATATATGTGTGCATCACACACATGCGAGTGCCCTTGAAGGGCAGAAGAGAGTATCAGATCCCCTAGAAATGGAGTTACTGATGTGTGTGCTGGGAACCAGACCCAGGTCCTCTGCAAGAGCAGCAGGTACTCTCGACCTCCCAGCCATCTCTCCAGCTCCCCTTCCCCTTTTACTTAATAAACTGCAGCTTTACTTCATACTGACTTGTTCTGAAATTATTTTCTGTTGTGCAGTCAAGAATCCTAGCTTCGACTGGGTATGGTGGTGCACACCCTAATCCCAGTGCCTGAGAGGAGAGGCAGGTGGATTCCATGAGTTCAAGACCAGCTAGATCTAAGTAGTGAGTGCCAGGGCAGCCGAGGCTAGGTAGACAGACCCTGTCTTAAAAACGAAAACAAACAAAAAAAACAAACAAACAAAAAAAAAAAAAAACCCAGCTTCCCCTGATTAGAGATTTTTGAAAGAACTCCTGCAGCTGCAGGCATCTGCATACAGCTGTCTGTCTCTTGCTCCTTGTTGCTGATTCTAATAGCAAATGAGTATCCTTCCATCTGTGGTTCAGCCAGCCGACCTCTCTGCTAAAGTACCTTGGAAGCTGTAATTTCCTAGAATTATTTTGTATCTAGTTCTTCCAGAACTCAGGTACTTCCTTCCTTGCTTTCTCTTTGTTGTTGTTGGTTTTATTTTTGATACAAAGTCTCACTCTGTAGCTGAGGCCGGCAAACTGACTATGTACCTGCATGGAACTGGCATCATCCTTGCATCAAGTGCTGGGATAGAGACATGTGCCCTACTGCTTGGCCTTCTGCTGCTCTGCCAGCTTAGGCTCTGAGCAAAGCCAACTGCTTCTGATTAAAGCAGTCAGAAGAACTGGGGTTCCCAGACCAGGAAGAGGTCAGTGTTACCGAGATCAGCCTCCTCCTTCAGATCTAAATGTCCTTCCTGTCACACACTGCCTCTGGCCAGAAGGAAGTCACTGGGTATGGTGCTAATTTGTGTGTTGGCAGAGACTGAGAAATCTGAGAAACTTTCCCTGGGTCGTAGAGAAAAGAAAAGTATGCTTTTGGTTGGTCAAAAGGTTGTGAGTTATCTCTCAACTGTTAACAGTCGGTTGCAGGTTGAACTCCTGCACTTTCCCCTCTTCTCATGGCTGAACTTGACTAGTTTTTTTTTAAAGCGTCTTTTCATATATAAATATATATGTATATATATATATATATATATATGTTTTGTAAAATCTCTCTGTCTGTCTGTCTGTCTGTCTGTCTGTTTTGTGAAAGGTGAAGGCCGAAAGACCCTTGGAAAAGATACTGTTTGGGGGAAAATAAGACAGAACGCAGAGAGACCCTTCTGTCACCCCAGCGAAGTCAGCGTGAGAACTAGAACAAGAAGCACGGTGCAGCTTTGGCCGAACCAGGATTCTTGAGATGCGGGGTGAGTGGTCTTTGCATCTCAGCAGTTGGGGTCCAGGAGGAGGCAGACCTCTCCCCATGTTCTTCGTGTCTGAGGTTTTGCCAACGTATTAACTTGCATTTCTCTTTAGTCACCCCCTTTCTCCTCAGAGGAGTTTTTTGGCAGACTACAAGCAGGTCCAGGTGGGGGGTGGGAGTTGGGGGTGAGGGGTGAGTCTATCTAGGTGAAGGAGGAGGGGAAAGGGTTGTCTCAAGGAGACCAGAATCCCACCCCTTCCCAGGTCGGTGTGTCCTCCACAAAACTAGCATTTTGTTTCTGCTTCTGGACTCTATCAGATGGTGTGACAGGACCGGATATTGTTGACGATAGTATGGGGCTTAGGACTTGGTGACATGGGTCCTTGGGGCCAGGCTTGGTGGAAACCCTGCATAGCAAATGGCCCTCCAGAGCTGGAGCTGAGGAATATGGGCCAATCGCTTCCAACAGCTGGGACTCAGAAATGTCTGGGTGTTACCTCGAGGAGGAGCCAGGCTGTGCAGTTACATGTGGAAGCTTGAACGTGTGAATTTAGTTACACCCAGGTGGGTGAAAATGATCCCATGAAGGAATGAAGCAATGAATGCCATGAAGCAGGAAGATACTTTGGGGGATAACCTTCCAACACTAAAAACAAAATAAAACACCAAACCTTTGCGACACACACATCTGCTTTCAGGGACTATTTGCCTGGGTGGGGTGAGTTAGCTGCTGGAACAGGGTCATCCTAATGCATTGGTGCTTAACACAGTGACGTTCAGGCCCTGCTCAGTCCATCTTGGCACTTCTGGGCTGGATGATGGGGTTCGCTGTGGCTTTGGTAGCCTCAAGCTGAATGGGTGCATCTGAACACATCTCCAAATCACTCCGGTGAGGGCAGGAAATGAGACATTGTATCAGCCAAAGACAATGTCCCTGGGAACTAATGGGCCAGGGAAATCATAGACTGTAGCTAATTCTAAAGAGGACAGATAAGAAGTGAGATATCAAGTCCCCAAGGGACTGAGAGGTCACATGGGAAGCTGTTCCTACCACACCAGAGTTCCCAGCTCTCAGTGATTCATTCTTCATTTACTTGAAGCAACTTTGTTGAAGCACAATGGACACCATGAATTAACACTTTGGTCATTCTGCATTTCTGTAAATCTGTGCTTGTTGCTGCAGGTGCCCCAGCTTTATCGGGCTCAGCCTATACATTTGTGTCCTGTGATCTGGGTGGTTTCTTTTGTTGCTTCTCTAGAATAATGTCTTGTAAGGTTCACTGAGTGGTGGCTGTAGGGACTCTAGCATCGGTCTCTGTATCATCCCAGTCCGCCTCCAGTGGCGTCACACACACTTCCTGTGGAATATAGAACTTTATGACAATTGCCACTCGCTTCTGCCAGCACCCATGATCCGGATGTCATGGCTCTGGCTATGTGCTGTGTCTGCTTTAAGCAGCCAGTCCCTGCCTCTCTGTGTGTGTATGAAAATACACTTACAACATTTATATCCCAACTAAGGAATTGCAGACCTGGCAGTCGTTCTACTAGGTCCAATAATTCCAGCACTTAGGTGAAGCAGGGGGATCAGAAGTTCAAAGTCTTTGCTGCATTGTAGAGTGGAGGCCAGCTTTGGCTACATGAGATCTTACCTCAAAGAAAGAAAGGAAAGGAGATAGATAGATAGATAGATAGATAGATAGATAGATAGATAGATAGAGATAGATAGATAGAGATAGATAGATAGATAGATAGATAGATAGATAGATAGACAGAGTTTATTAAGTAGAGAAAGATATTGTGTATGCTTTAGCTTCAAGTATGATTGCTGTAAAAAACCTCAGAGAGGCTTAATATCTACCTATGTGAACTTGTGGTTCTTAGGGCTGTATTGCTCAAAAGACATTATATACAACTAGGTTAAAAGATAAGCAAAGTTTAAAAATTAGTTAACAGTTAAAGATTAAGTAAAAATGAGTTAAGTAAAAACCCATCAGTGTTCACCTGTTTGCTTAAAGAATTTTCTCTGGTGACTGAATGATAAGGTGGCTGAGGAGGCTCATTGTTTGGGTGTAGGGATAAAAGAGGGGCGCTGATAGGTTAAACCCAAAGGTCGCCTTCTGGCCCTAAGTAAGCAGGATTCAGTTGCTTTGGTGAGCTTGTCAGTTGTGCTGACTCAGGGCTCTGTGCATGCTAGGTAAGCCTCTGCCATTTGAGCCACCTCCCTAGCCTGTTTTCTTTCAGTGGCCAAGCACTATTCAATATGTTGAATGAACAGACTCATATAGTCCAGCCTGGCCTCAAACTTGCTCTATAGCTGAGGATGATCTTGAACTGTCTTTGTTTGTTTGAGTCAGGGTTTCTCTGTCTAACAGTCCTGACTGTTCTGGAACTTAACTTAGTAGACCAGGCTGACCTCAAACTCCCAGAGGTCTGCCTGCCTGCCTCCTGAGTGCTGGTATTAAAGGCACACAGCTTGACCTTGAACTCTTGATCCTCAGGATTTCATCACCTCCCAAATCCTGGGATTGTAGGCATTCACCACCACACTAGGTTTAGACAATTCTTTTAAATAGTTTTATGGGCAGCAGGGATGTTCAGTGGGTAAAGGCACTTTTTGATCCCCGAGCCCATGGTGGAAGGAGAGAACTGACTTCCCCAAGGTGTCTTCTTTTTATTTTCCAAGGTGTCTTCTGAATAGCAGGTGTGTCCATACTTATAACAAGTAAATGGGGGAATAAAAGAAAAAGAGCACATTGTGTTTATTAATTAAGTCCCACTTTGGGGTTATGTTGCCTGGTACCAGTTCCTTCTGCACAGAGGACTCCGGTGACAGACCTGGAAGCTAACATACTAGCAGAGAATTCCTTCAGCATCACACGTGGCCCTAAGCCGTGTATTCTTGACTAAGCTCAGCTGAAAGTGATCACTGGAAGGTGTCAGGCACATTTTGGGGTAGGGAATGTGTGTTCGAAAGGTGAAAACGGTGGACAGGAGTGCCTCTGGGCATGCTCAGCTTGCACACGGGTTTAGCCAAAACTAAATAAAGGGCACTTTGAAGGTGTTTTTCTCAGCCTGCCCCTGAAGTGCCAACTCACTTAGAGGCGGACGGTTTCCCATAGTCCCGCTGTTGGTCAAGTGTGTTTCCGGTGACTGTGCGCTGCTCTTATCTTCGTTTCTTATGTGGAATGCGTCACTTGTCTCAGCTTTTAATGATCTCAGCTTTTTCTCCGGTTTTAAGCAATTTGATCTTGATACGCTATTGAGTGTGTCTCCTCACGGTTCTTGTTCTTGGGTTTTATTAGGTTTCTTTGTTCTGCAAGTTTATCATTTTTATCCGACTTGGAATTTTTTTCCAACCGTTGTCTTTTCAGAGGTTTTCACCCCTGCCCCAGCCCCCATCCTTTGCAGTTTGTTAGGATGCCTGAATTTGTGTTTCTGCTGAATCCTTTCGCTGTTTCATCTTGTATGGTTCCTGTTTCTGTGTCTTTCAATTCAGAAATCTTTCAGCGGTGTCTCATTGCCTGCCTCACCCCCAGGCTCTGCCCTTGCATCTCTCATTCATGTGGAGAGAGACTGTGAACTCTGTGGCTGCACTAAGTTCCTGTCTCTCCTCCAGCTTCTCAATTGCACAGTCTGCTTTATATTGTGTCTCTATATATTTGTGTGTGTGTTTGCACATGTGTGTGTGTTTGTGTGCATGCATGTAATTCTGTTTATGTGCTTGTGGAAGCCGGAGAGAAATCTCAGCTTTTATTCCTTAGGAGTTTAGGGCAACCTGGTCTGCAGCTTGCCCGTTAAGCTAGACCACGGGCCAGTGAGCCCCACAGAGATCAGCCTGTCTTCTCCCCAGCATTAGACTTACAAGCATGTAGCAGCAAGCCTGGGTTTGTTTGTTTGCTTGTTTAATACGGGTTCTGGGGAGCAAAGCAAGAACTTTGCTGGCTGAGCCATGTCCCCAGGCCACCATAGTTCCAATAATGATTTTAGCCTTGCTTTCAACTGAGTTTTGTCATGGAAGTGATTCTGAGGTCATTTCTAGTGGCTGACTTTTCTCTTCATCATGACCAGCATTCCCCCACTTGACATGTCAGGGAATTTGTCAGTGACCGTCAGACATGGGGATGTTAACCTAGAGATCCAGGTCAGAGTCATTCAGCTTTTTCCTCCTTTGCTGAACCTGTGTGGACCAGCTGCCAGCTGACGTACACACTGTGAAATACCATGCTGCTCTTCAGTGTTGGTGTGTTCTGCCTTCCCAAAGTGTCATGGCTTCAGAGGCTTGTACAGCAGCCATGTTGTCACCATCTGGAGGCTGGGACACCCTCTGAGGTCAGATGTCACAGCCAGTTTCTTCAGGTACTGACAGAGCTCTGCCCTCTCCTGGCTTCTGAGGCATTGCTGCTGTGTGAGATGCTCTACACACGGCTCCAAACTGCCCCCATCCTCATGTGACCTTCCTCCCGTGTGCAGGTGACTCAGTGTCCCCTTGTGAGTGTGTGTGTTCTGTGTGCTCAGATGCACTTGTGTGTGGGCTCTCATGGGTGGGACAGAGACAACTTTGGTTGTCATACCTCAAGGACTACTTGTTGTGTGTTAGAGATAGAGTCTCTCTATATAGCCTTGGCTAGCCTGGAACTTGTTGACAGAGGTTTCTGTCCCTCATGGACCCAAAGCTGTTCAGTTCCAAAGAAACACACTGAGGTCTACATTAATCATAAACTGGTTGGCCTAGTAGCTCAGGCTTCTTATTAATTAATTCTTACATCTTATGCTAGCCATTAATTCTTGTCTGTGTCAGTCATGTGGCTAAGTCCCTTTTATCAGTGAGGCATTCTCATCTTGCTTCCTCTGAGACTACTGCAGACTGACTCCTCTCCCAGAGTTCTTCTGCTCTCGTCACCCCACCTATACTTCCTGCCTGGCTACTGGCCAATCAGCATTTTATTAAAACAATACAATATAAGTGACAGGGTACAAGACTATTGTCCGGCAGCAGGAACT